TGTTTCTTCTGGGAGATGGAAGGGGAGCTGATGAAATGATTGTAAATGTTCATGGTGCCCACGCTCTCCCCAGTCCCAAGGGGGGATTATCATAAAGGCTATGGGGGTAGGGGACAGCCTCCAAATGCCTCTGGCAACCTGGCTACATTGAATTTGTTTGTAATATAATTAAATGTTAATTTTCAGCTCCCCATGGTGTTCACAAGCAAACAATACATGTACCTATCAGCAGAGCGTTCACCTAGCAATCTTTAATCCCACAGTCATTTTGTTATAGGACTCCTTCTCCCTCTAACAATTTCATTTTAAATAATGGATTCCTCATTTCCCCTTATCCACAGACTTTGCCCGTATGGGAGCTGCCAGGGCCCCCTCACTCCTAGCATCTGTACCTCATTAGTCATGCAACCCAATTGTTCTTGGCCATTCATGGTTATGGCGGTCCCTCTGCCCTCCTGCCACCAGCCTCTCTATAGTCCTCCCTGCCACCCGGGGGCAGGACTTCACTCTCTCAGTCCGCACATAGCCAGAGTGAAATGATGGCTGATTCCTTGTGTCATGGAGGGGGTCAGCATGCCCTGATGGATGCAAAGCAATCTCACCACAAGCTGAAGGCGGTGGGTCTCCCGAGATGAAGGACACTCCTGCCATCGATCGGTTGCCCTGATTGCTTCCCGGAGGCAAACACCCAGAGTGTCCCCAGCCAGGTGGCGATTTTTCTCTTCCTGTAAATATACATTTCCCACAGGGGCGAGGAGTCTGTAGACAGGGATATTCTTTCCTAGTTAGTTGGAAGCGACTATTTTATATGTCGTAATTTAACAGTCTTCTTGGTCAACAGTCACATTAAGAAACTCAGCCCTCTATTATTTTGCCTTTGAAAGGACTGATTGATGGCCATTTCAAAAATTTACCGATCACTTATTCTATGTGCAGGATACATTTTAATCAGGAGGAACCAAGAGGGGAAGTAAGGAGGAAGCTGCTTTCTATCAAAGTAGTCACAGCACTATGAAGGCTGACTTTGGGGCACACACCCCTTCTGTGCAGAGGCAGCCAAGCCTGGAAACTGCCCCTGTCCCTTGGACAAGCTGTTTGGAGAAAGCTCACCAGTGATCACTGGATTCCAGATGGCTGTGGGATGAGCTAGCCTCACCCCCAGAATCTTTTCCCAGCCAGTCTTTTCTGAATCCTCAGTGACACAGCCAAACGCACACCTTTGTGGCAGACCTGGATATATCCTGCACAGATTTCCCTTCAAGAGAAAACTTGCTGATTGCCTGCAAGGAGAGCAGGGACTGCCTTAGCTTTTATGCATTGTTGGGTTTGATTAGCTAATATTTTTGTGAAGGATTTCTACCTCTATGTTTATGAGAGATATTAGTCTGTTTTTTTCTTTCCTTGTAATGTTTTTGTGTGGTTTTGGTATTAAGGTAATGCTGGCCTCAGAATGAGGACATAATCTCTCTGCTTCTATCTACTGAAAGAGACTGTAGAGAATTCATATGATTTTTTTTTTCCTTAAATGTTTGCTATAATTCACCATCTGGACCTGGGCTTTCTGTGTAGAATGTTATTAAATATTGATTCTATTTCTTTAACAGATATAAGCCTATTCAAATCACCCATTCTTTCTTGTGTGAGTTTTGGTAGATTGTTGTCTTTCAAGAAATTGGACCACTTCACATAAAGTTATCAGATTTGTGGGCATAGAGTTATTCAGTGTATTCCTTGATTATCCATGGTATCTGTAGTCCCCTGGTTTATTTCTGATATTAGTATTTTTTGTCCTCTCTCTTTTTTTTCTTAACCTGTCTAGATAGAGGCTTATTGGTTTTATTGATCCTTTCAAAGAACCAGCTTTTGATTTTGTTGACTTTCCACTACTGATTTCCTGTTTTAATTTCATTGATTTTGTTCTAATTTTTATTTCTTTTCTTTTGTTTACTTTGCATTTACTTTGTTCTTCTTTTTCTAGCTTCTTAAAGTGGGAGCTTATTGATTTTAGATCTGTCTTTTTTTCCTAGTAAGTGCATTCAATACTATAAATGTCCCTCTAAGCACAACTTTCACTGCACCCGGCAAATTTTGGTAAGTTGTGTTTTCATTTTCATGTAGTTCAAAATATTTTAAAATTTCCCTTGAGATTTCCTTTTTGACCCATGTATTAGTTAGAAATGTGTTTTTGAGATCCAAGTTTTTTTGGATTTTCCAACTATCTTTCTGTTATTGACTACTAGTCTATGTCTATTGTAGACAGAGAGCACGTTCCATTCTTTTAAATTGATTGCGGAATATATTTTGGCCCAGAATGTTATGGAACTTGATGACTATTCCACGTGAGTTTGGGAAGATTGTGTACTCTGTTGTCAGTAGTCTAAAAATGTCAATTATATACAGTTGATTGGTGGTACTGTCCTTACTGATTCTCTGCCTATAGGTTTATTTCCCCACCTTGCCACTAAAACCATGAGGGATTTTTTTCCTCTTTTGCTCAGATGTTCACCGTGAGAACCAGGTATAGATCCAGGAACTAAAACTAAAATGTGGGGTCTCCCTGATGAGTGGATCCCCTTGGAGTTTTTAACTCTCAAAGTTGTTCACACTGAGCCTCCACCAATCCATCAGTTACAGTTCAGGTTTTTCTACCCAGATATTGGTTCCCATGGAGATTTCTCCACAATGAGTTGTGAGTCTCTGTATTTGCCTGTTTGTGTCTCTAGTTTTGTGGGTTGGAACCTCACTTCTCTTACAGACCTAACAAGAATTTTTAATTTTTCAGTTGGTCCACCTTTTGATATGTTCAGAATGGAGTAATGCCTTCTGAGCTTCTTGAATGCTAGACTTAAAACCAGAAGTCTGCCTTAGTTTTTTAACTGAGGCAAAGTTCTTCCTAGGCTGATCCCAGCCACTGACTAAGTAGAGTTGGTTCACAAGGGCCTGGCTGTTTCTGTACAACTCGGGACTCTTAGGTTGGCCAAGATGTGCATCACTGTCTGAGGTTCTCTCTGCCTAATCCTGCTTTCTTCCTCTTTATTTGTTATATATTAGCCTCTAATGTACTGTGTGCATTACCAAGCTGGTCTCAGCACCTTCTTCCTAGGGAATCCAATTGGCACACTTGAAAAATGATCAATACTGTTGTAGGTTCCAGGACAATGGAGAAATCATCTGTGAGCTATGGATGTGGATAAACTGATTTACCAGGTATAACTTGCTCACCTTCAGTCCAGACTTCACCACTCACCCTGTCACAAGTCCCTATGCGACTTACAGCCACCCTATATACTAGCATCTTTGACTGCAGACCTCAGCCTCTTGCCTTTTTAAGAGTCCAGAAAAAGGGAGAGACTATGAACTTCTTCCTGATTCCCTGTTAAGACCAGTTTTTGTTCGAATACCTAACTTTTTGACTAGTGCCTGACACAAATTTGTCTTCTGCAGAGATGGCATGCCTCTTTTGGAAGGCCTTCATGGATATCTTGTCTTAACATAACTAATAGTCCTGGTATACATACAGAAGAACGTAGAGAGTCATGAGTCAGTGGGGGGCTCTTGTCATCACAGGAAGCAATCATAACGGTGTATCTGAATTATAGCAAAGGCTGTGGTGATGGAGTGGACAAGAGTTTGAAAAGTAGGTCAGGTATGAGACAAGACATAATGGATCAGATTTCACCATTACAAAGAAAGAAGGAGTCACTCCTGGCTGCCATGAACCTGACTTAGCTACCTGGGGATGGGGATGCATTTACTGCATTGGGGGCCAGAAAGGGATGTGTTTACTGCACTGGGGGCCAGGAGGGGATGCATTTACTGGGGGCCAGGAGGTGTTGGATGGGACTTGAGGGGAGAAAAGTGAGTTAGGTTCGGGCTTCGGGCTTTGGAAGGCCTGTGGATATCCAAGTGAGGTATTGCTGTTGCTTGACTTTTAATTTTCTTTATTTTTTCTTGCAAATCAGAGAAAAGCAGCATCCTGTCAGGCCTGGTGCTTCCCTCTGGTCCCTCTGCTGGGTTTTCTCCAGCCCCTTGCCCTCAGGCAAGAGAGAAGCCAGCAGCGCAGGCTGCTGGGGGCTGCAGGGCAGGCTCTTAACACAGCAGGGCCCTTCACATGTTCCACATCTGACAATCCCAGGTCTACCGCCTGCTAGCATCTGTTCACGAAGACACAGCATCACAAACTCTCTGGACTGGAAGGGACGTTAGAGGTCATCCCTTCCATTCCAGCCTCGGGGGTGGCGTTTTCAGTTTGTTCTAATGAGTCAAGATCCTTCTTCTCTTAAGTGAGGGACTATTTCTTCTACTTCCTCTTACTATGTTGTTAAAGATAGGGTCCGCTGTTGGCCTTCTTCCTGAGGAAGCCTCTTGAGTCTTGTGTTTGTGGATGGAGCAGCAAGGGACAAGATGAGGGCAGATTTGGGGACAAAGTTCTTTTTGTCCTTCACACTATAAGCTATGGGAATGGTCTCCATGGTTACAGCAGCTTCTTAGAGGTATCTAGAATTTAATTTTCTGTATTCCCCTAAATGTCTAATTTATGAATAACCTGCTTAGGTAACCTGCTGGAAAGTTTCTACATGTCTGTGAATATCAAGAAATGTATATATTTATCCGAATTCCAAACAACAACTGAAAGGTAGACGGACACATTTTTGGTGCATTTTTTTCCTTTTCATTAAAAACAGAAGTTAAGATTAACTTAAAAAAATTCAAGTTAAACAACATTCAATTAAACAAACAAACAAACACGGCCATTATGCCCTTCAAAGGCATGTGAGCCAGAGAGGGGCTGGAATTAACCTAATTATGTTTTCTTTAATGTGAAATAGCTATTTGCCTGACATTTCATTTGCATCTCACCATCACATTCAAATGACTGGGACATTGATTTTTTTTTTTTTCTAGGGCTCTCTTTGAACATGAAAGTGTTTTTTCCTGTCTGTCCCCCCCTTGTGAGAGCGGTGATAAGAATGGATCGATAATTACATTGTTGGATAAAAATGAATATAAATTTTATTGAAAAACAACACCAGCAACAACGTGGGGAAAGCATACTCAGCAGCCACCGCCGGCCCACACAACTCAATACACACGTTATGAAAAGTAATCACCTCTTAAGATTTCCAACTACTTCCCCAAATGAAAAGAAACTCTAGACCTCAGAGAAACTAATGTGGGACACAGATGCACACCCCCTTTGAGTACTTTGCCCATAGCAAAGGATGAGGCACGTTCAGCCTGTGTTTGCTGTGGCTGATCCAGTGTAGTTCAAGGAGTAGTTGGTTTGGGGAGAACATAATCCTTCCGGTCAGCATGGCATCTGAACCCCTAGACCACTGGGAATACGTTCCTCCTTTCAAGTGTTTTGAGAAGAGGATTTCACAAACTTTTTTGGCAACTTGTCCCTCCTGCTTAACAACAGGAAATAGTTCTTTATGTCTATGGTAAATCCTTCATGCTTCAGTTAATCTATTTATTTCGTTTTAATCTCAGCAGGTTGTGTGTGAGGAATATGCCCTGGTGGGACAATGTAGCATATGGAAAACTCACAATGATCGTAATCAGATTGAAAACAGAGTCCAGCTGTGTCGCTGGTGCTTCACAAACAAGCCAAAAAGAAGGTAATTACAGTTATGGTCAAAGACCACTTGCTTCTCCACCCCCTCACTCTCTCCGACTTTCCAGAACCACAGGGCTCTGCTTTTGGGCTCAGGCTGCCAATTCAGGACTTGCTAGCAAGAGATTTTGAGATTGATAAATTTCAACTCTTCATTGGCATAGTAATGAGTATTATTATCAAAGCTGTCCTATCCATTTCTAGATCATGTTTCTGTTTTAAGAAGGGATTTCTGGGGCCAAATACTCCTAAATCGTATTATGTTCCATGCCTTGTCACCAGGCCAGGCAGTCCCCCAGGCTCGCCTCACAGTCCGTATGTGGCAAAGATGTGCTCTGTGTGCATACGAGGAAGTGCTGAGAAGTCACGAGAAAGCACCCGGTGAATGTAACTTAAACATCTCAGCAGCATTTTTCAAATTCTGCTAACAAAACCTGGGTGATAGATTCAGCCTCGCAGAGGTTTGCAGCACAGAAGATCCGCACTTTGGACACCAGGGGGCGCCCTTGCCACTCCACCGACCTGCAGGGCTCCACCACCAGGAAACAAAGATGGGGATTTGAATAAAAGACTTCAAAATACAACTCCGAATTTCTACCCTGAGCAGCATGCGTGTAAAAATTCATGAAGATTGGATTTCATTTCATATATTTTTACTTCAGTGGAAATAAATTCAGGTGATTTTCTGACTGTGCCCACAGCTGTCCTTACAAAGGGGGTGCCTGGTTAAACAAGAGGGAGGGACTCTGGGAGGCTCTGCAGATGCTTCGAGAGACTGGTCTCTGTTGCTGTGCTCGGGACAGCTCCTATTTTGCAGAGTGGCATCCTCTGCACACTCCAGAATGTATTGATTAATTATATAGGCATCTAAAAAGATGCCTGTCATTCTCGGCAGGACTAGAGTGGCTGCCAGCCCTGGGCCTGTGAGTGACATGAGTTATAGAAGGCGCTTATTATTTTGATGAAACACATTTCTTTCAGTCCATAAAATCAAAGGTGTGAGAAAAGGTTGCTTTGAGGGTGTGGAAACTCCCCTTGTTTCCCCGTTGTGCACAGCAGTTTAACCGCTGGGACTTTTGTGCATTTTCCAGGCTTAATGGGATGGATGTCTGGGGGCCAGTCTGCTAGAGGGCGCTGGTGCAGGCAGGGCTGCTCAGCCCCGCTATGGCTTGCAGCCTCCCAGCCCCACCTGGGGGACTATGGACACCGTATTAAATTGCTGGGGGCCAGGTGCATGCTGGGTGGTACAGGGGAGCTTCTAGGGAGGAGACCTAAAGGGATGCTGGACTGATGTGCCAAGAGACAGGCTGAGGAGGTAAAGCTGCTGCCACCACCCCTAGGTCTGGCGGGGACAGGGCCCCTTGGTTTCCCTCTGTGGTCCGTGTCTACTGTGATGCCTGGTGCTGCAGGTGCCCCTTGAACATTGTTTGAATACGTGATGTGCGGGTGAAGGCAGAGCAGGCTGTGAGGGTCCCCGGCCGGTTCTGTCTGTAGCTGAGCCTGGAGGCATTTGTAGCAGCCACGAGGGAACGTGCTGGGCAGGGCGGGCTCTCGGGGATGACAGGGACAGCAGAGGTAGAGAAGCCTGGAAGTCACCAGGGTCCACCTCGAAGAGTGGTCGGGATGGTGTTGCGGAGGCCATGCTGGGCCTCTCCATCCTTCCCTCCTGGCTGCTCTCGCTGAGCCAGCCCATCTGCTGTTGCCATGGCAACACTGACCGGAGGTGCTGCTGAGGGCCAGCTGGGCAGCCAAGGCTTCTCAGACCTGAGCAAGCAAGAGGTTCTGAACTGTCCCCACAGAAGGTGGGGCGCAGGAGCCCTCTCATCTCAGAGGAAGGGAGGAAGAGAGATGAAATAGGTTCAAGCCCAAAACCTGCTCCCAGGGCAGGCCCAGGACCCCCATCTGCGGATTTGCTCTTGGGGGCCAGCAGAGCTTTAGTATCGCGGGAGTCCCCTCAGCACTGAAGCATTTGCACTACTCCTCGCCTCACCTCGACCTTTGGGCATGGTGACTGTCACGGCTCCTCAAAGGCCTGCTAAGGTTTTCTGGGTAGGGTGCAGGCAGGGGCCTGAGGCTTGGAAGGTCACCCCCAGGCCTTAGACTGAGGTAACTGAGCTACAGGCTCCTCTGAGGGCACAGTCAGAGGTTGCACACCTTTAGAATCGGGTTGCAGGAGTACTAAGGTGTACTTCCTCCCCAGCCTCCCATCCAGAGTGGGCACTGGCTGCTCTTTGCTTTGGAGTCACGTCCTGTTTGCCATCCCCAGTAACAAAGTCTGTGGAGGCCATCTGCGCTAGCAATTGGGGGTTGGCTGGCTTCCTCTCACACCTTTCATCTTGAAGAGCAAGAAGCGACTAATGAAGTGGCAGCAGGAATGCAGAAGATGGTTAGGTCTGCAAAAATTGATGGTCCCACCTTCCCTGGGGTCCAGGAGTTGGTGAGAAACACTTGGATGCCATGTGAAAGGGACCAATGACGCAAGATGACTCAGCCTTGCAAATCAGGTCCCTTTTGGGCTTGAGGGAGCGGAGGATAAGGGTCCTCATCATGCGAAAAGCTTTCAGCCGGGACAATCTCTCTGTTTTCCCACATCAACCCTATGACAACCACAACAGCATTAATATGAGGAGGGGAGCATCTGGGCAGTGGGGTACAGTTTACAATACCTTGGATTTAAATAGCACCTTTTTCTTCTAAAGGGCCTTTGCCTCTGTCCCCTCGGCCAGGGCCACTGAGAGAAGCCATCAGAACACAGCTCCCGTGACAGGGCAGGGAGACTGAGGCAGGGGCATAGAAGAGACTTCATGCAGACTCAGTGGTGTCCAGGGCCCTCTGCACTTCCCTCGGGCCCTCCCTGTGCAGGGTTGGCCGTGGGCCTCTGGGGGGTGCGTCTGGGCTAGGCCCTCACTGGGCGTTCACTTTGTACTTCAGGATGTAGGAGTAGAAGTTGTGGTTGGCGTTCTCCAGCACCATGACGTAGACCTCCTGGCAGCCGGCTGTGTTGCAGCTGCCCTCCCAGTAGCCGTCGCGGTTCAGGGTCAGTGGCCACGTATCCTGCCCCTTCACCAGGGCCTTGGCGATGCCATGCAACTTCAATTTGAATGGGACATTTCGGTTGGCAGGAAGCACGCCCGACAGAGGCTCCAGCAGCTCATTGTCCTGCCCCCAGTTGCCGAAGCTCTCGGGGAACACGGGCCAGTTCACCTTGGTATTGGTGCAGCACAGGAGATAATTGAAGACAAAGATGTAGTTGCCTGGTTCCTGCCTCTTCTTGACAAAGATCTTGAGTGCAAACTTGCCGGCATGGGGCAGCTGGACTTTCAGCTCTGTCCGCTTCTCCCGGTGCAGCTGGAAGATGTAGCGCCGCTGCGTCTCCTCGGTGAAGGGCCCATCATCCCCATGCAGGGACGCCAGGACGCTGATGCCCTCCTCTACACTGAAGCTGACGGAGCAGCGCCCGTCCCTGGTGTGGATGATGGGGTCAGGGTGGGAGGGCTTCACGATGCCCATCTGCTCGGAGAACCAGCTGGGGCCCACGGGCTGGTGCAGCTCCGCTGGCAGCTGTACACCGAAGTCCACATAGTTGCACTTGAGTGTGTACTCCAGCACCGAGCTGTAGATGTCGGAGTTGCCTTTGGCGAAGATTTGCAGCTTGTGGGTGCCCATGGCCGGAGGATACACTTCCAGCTTCATCCCGTTCTTCCTGAGGCTCAGCAGACCGTGCTCCTGCTTACCATTGAGCATAAACATGAAGAGCGTTGGGGTGCAGCTCTCGATGGTGACCGTGGCCTTCCCATTCACTGTGGAGAGAAGGCCAAGGTCAGGCAAGACAGGTCCAGCGTGTGCTGGTCAATGTTTGACAACTGGTTTTCCAAAGGGAAAACCCCGACTTGTAGCATCTGCCCATTTCTGTGGTGTAAATACTTTCACCACAATTGATTTTAAGCAAGTAACATGACACCACTGGACATTATATAAGCAGGTTGCAGCACACTGCTGTCCACGCCCCATTCAGGAAGTTTGCCTCATGTGAGTTAAAATCTGGGTGGGGGGGTTCCCAAGAAAAAAAAATCTGTTCCCAGCTGCACACACTCACCCTACCTACCTGATTCCAGTTAGTGAAGGCTGCATGGAAGTGCAACCTGATCCCAGACCCAGGGAGATGGAGGGTCAAGGTGCAAGGAGGACCTATGGCCCAGGCTGGAGAGCATCTCTGTGATGCTTCCTCCAGGTTGCAAGTGTTGCTTTTGCTGCTCTCTCTAGCATCTGCTCATTAGTGCTGACAGCTGTCGTGTCAACACATTACCTGAAAAGTCAGTTGGGATCTCTTCACTCCTAGAGACTGTGATCAGGCATGGGGCTGCTCCTCACGCCCCGACTCCCCACTTCCCTGCCACACTTCTCACATTGGCTTGTCTTGGCCACTATTCTAGGAAGAAGGGCCAGTGAGTGCAGAGGAGGGTCTGTTACAGCCATGCACTCATGCCTCCCCTCCCCGCCCTGCCTCTAACTTAGCCTGGTATTTTCATCTTCTTCTGTTCCTCTATTCTGGTCATTGTTTTCTGGGGACAGTCGGTCAGTTCTCTAGTCTTTGTAACCCATGAGCTCTCCCACAGAGAAGTGGCTTCTCTGAGAACCTTACTGCGCCTTCCTCTCAGAAACTGATCACCTGCTTCCAATGCCAGCTGCCCTCCCTGCCTCAGCATGGAGGTGCACAAGGAGTGTCATGCTGTCTGCTCCATGCTTACCAGTAAGTAACCTTTCTCCTGTCTGGGGCCCAAGGCTTTTGCTGGGGAGGCAGACAACGTACCTGGGCTCTAAGACAGATGAACCTGAGACTTCCCACCTAGTCTGCTGATTTCCATACTCAAGGCGGCCCAGCTACTGCATTGGGGGCAGCTCCCTACAGGGGAATGAGAGATTCCCCATGTGGGCAAGGATCAGGGATGCAAGTTAGCTAGCCCAGCCCCTCCCTTCTGCCTTCTTCTGGGTTCCTCCATTTGAAAACTTTCCCTGCCTGCTCAGGTATAGCCAGCTCCTCTCCTGCCTTCTGCTACCTGCTGTGGTCTCTGCCATCCATCGACCTTTGAAACTGGGCCTCTGACTCTGCTCTCCCAAGTCTGCAGAATCCAGGCTGCTGGCCATGTCTTTCTGGACATCATCTCCGCCCCTGTGTCCACCACTCGTTTAGTCTTCACAGTGGCTGTCTTCCTTCCCTTTTTTTAACACAAGTTGTGGGGTTCTTTGTGCTTATGTGCTACGTTCTTCATCTACACTCTCTCCCCCCTGCTGTCAGTCACCACGGGACACCGGTCCCCTGTAACCTCCAAAGGAAAGTGATCAAGAACAACAGACATGTTATATTTTCTTGCTTGAAACCCTCCCTCCACTGAATCAAGCTGGTTCTGTGGGCAAAACTGTCTCCCCCATCAGTGCTCACGGTCCTGTCCTGTTCCATCATCATCAGAGTTGTTATGAGGTCCCCAAGCAATTCACCTGTGGTGCGTGAAGTGCTGCCCAGGGCCTCCACATGGCCACCAAGTCTCCTGTGGAAACAGCCCCCAGCACTCCCAGCTCATTCTGTAGGTCACCATCAAGCTGGAGAGCAGTGGAGAGGCCTCCAGGCCCTCCTCGCTGGGGCCTCACATCCTCTAGGGGCACAGCCCTCCCATCCCTCTACTGCTTCCCTGAACCCGGGTAAGACGTCAACTGAATGTTTTGATTGCAAAGAAGCCTTTCCCAGTGCCTGGCTGAGACTGCACCCTGGAAGCTGCTCTCTTTATTCTGTGTCTTCTTTGGGGAACTTAGCAACGCTGCAGTGAGTGAGTGATAGTAATGTCTGCTCTCTCTGCTGTCCTGTGGGTCCTGGGAGAAGGGGCCCACATGTCCCCAGTCCTGCCATGTCCCAGGTCTGGCTCTGATGCCTGGCCCTGGGGTTTCTTAAAAAAGCAGAGCTGAATGGCTGAGAAGACTTAAAGGGCTGCAACCCCTGGGAAACTCTGTAACCTCTTCTGACCCCCACTTCTTGCCCATTCTGACCTCTCTTCCCTTTCAATGACTTTCACATCCTCTTTCTTCCCTCTTCTACTTCCTTCCCATCCCCACTCTTAACTAGCCCCAGCAGAGAACTATTCTCTATTTATCATGAGTGTGGAGTCGGATTCTCAATTACTGTATATTAAGAAACCTGGTGTTTACATTTTATGTCTCTTGAAAAGGCAAACAACTGATGGCCTGGTTCATTCTTCCCTGGGGTTCCATGTCCCTCCCACCCCCGACAGCACAGACTGAGGTACAGCCCATGGAAGCCCAGGAAACACAGGCCCAAAGACAGCAACCTCAAGCTGTTATTTCAGTAGCAGGCGCCACCAGGTATTTGTAGTTATTGAAAAATATGTGAGAGCTCAGCACCCTAGTTAAGGAAACCTTTGTCAGCTGAAGCCATAAGTCAGCTGCAAGTACTGCGGGGGCACCTGTGTCCCTACCACCCGCCAAGTTGGCTGGGGCTCCCGCTGGTTCTGGGCCCACTCTCAGGCCACCCTGTGCTAACAGCCAATGTGAGCTCAGGCCTTCCATCCTGCAAGCACAGGCCCCCCGAGACTGAGGCAGGGTGCATAGGCAGTTCTTGGCTGCAGAGCGGGGGTGCACAGTTCTAGCTATGTTGAGGCCTGCAGCATGAGTCTACAGAAGACATAGCCAGCTGGTGGTAGACCTGCCAGCCCCATGGCCACAGTTTTGGACCCTGGAGTCTGGTCTCCCACATCTCATAGAGTGTGAACATATTGTGCCTGCTGCCCCCGTGGACAAAGAGAGAGAAAGTGTCAGTCCAGACTCTCCATGAGATAGTCCAGCTTGGTGCTCTGTACCCCCAGCCTCAGGGTAAAGACTGGTCCTCTCTCTCTCCTGGAGAGCAGCAAGTATCCCTAGCTGACAAAAGGGGTTTCAGGAGGCCGGGCTGTGCTCCCTGGAGTCCGGCCCTTGTTTAGGGGTCCTGGAGCTCAGAGATTGGAAGGCTTTCTGTGCCCTTCCTGAAACATGTCTCTCTCCTGTTCTCTCCCAGCTGCCAAACCCAGCTCTGCGGTCATCCCCCACAACAAAGCCTCCCAGCACCCTCTGTCCTGGGAGGTCCTTACTGTTACCCCACTAACTGGTTAGACCACTGACTCACAGACACCAGCCCTGCTGGGCCCCCTGATGCTCTCCGCAGGAAGCTGGGGAGAACACCACAGGCTAGTGAGCTTCCGTTGGGCACCTGAGCTGGGAGTTTGGTGGAGCCGGACTGAGGCTGTCCTGTCATTGCTGTGAGAACTGTGTGAGCTGAGCCTCACTTGCTTGGACTTTCAGGCCTAGCTCCCTGATGAGCTGGGCTGTAGGTGCAGCCCCCTGGAATGAGGGAAACTCGTGGACTTCCTAGGTATCCCCTTCTTGGTTTATGCTGGTGCAAGTGGGCTCTTGTCCCTGCAAATGTGACCTATGGCTACATTCCACCTGAGAGCCTGATGACCTTGGCTGCCTCAGCAACCCCCACAGGCCCACATACACGGCCTACACCAAGTCCCCCGCCCCTGGTGGGCCCCACGGGCTGTTCCCGTGGACTCAGACTCCCAGAGGCCCACAGGGGGCTGCCTGGCCTGCGGAAGCTCCATGGTTACCTGTTCTGATCATGGGCATATCCGGGTGGGCACTCAGCATCCCCTTGTTGTAGAATTCACTTTTGTGATACATGTTGTTCTCAAATTGCCTCAGGGATTGAGGAGGCTTTAGCAGTTGCCAGTTCTTGTTGTCTGGGAAGTGGTCCTCGATGAACAGTGCGGGATGGGTGAGGAAGTAGAATTCATTATAGCTAGAGCAGAGGAGGAGCTGGTCAGTAATCATGTGAGGTGGTAGGTGGACCCCAGCTCTGCAGAGGGGCAGGTGGGACTCATAGGGGCAGTTTGGGGCTTTCTTTTGCCTAATACTCCCAATAGCAGGGCCCAGTTGATACCACAAATGGGAAAGTCACCATCTCCAATTCTAATGTGGGTACTGGAGACTCCCTTTCAGCATCTGCTTCTAGAAATAGGAGCCTGGGCAGGATATCTGAGGCCCTTCTAAGACAAAGCCTGCAAGTATGTCCAGGTGGGAGTGGGAAGTACAGAGTGGAGTGGACAGAAGGCAAGGAGGGAGGGGGCTTGGCTTCACTACCTCCATCCACCCACACCTGGGCAGCTGTGTGGATGGGAGGCCCTTCTGTGGTCTCTGGGGGCAAGTTAGGCTGTCTGGGGGGCAGTGATGGGGATTGAGAATGAGGAGACTCGTCAGATTGAGGAGGTTTGCTCAGCTTCAGGCAAGAAGTGCCCAAAGCTGACAGAGACCAACGAGGTGAGCAAGAGCAGAGGCCTGCGTGCAGGTGCCTGCCACACCCATGTTTTTGTCTTGTGTAGGGGACTGTCAGGGTTTAAACTGCAAAATTCAGAGACAATGCTCTTGTTTTGTTTTGTTTTTTTGAATAAAAGGTATCTGGACTGTGGATGGACATTATGGTCTAGGACAAATGTCATGCCCTTAACTTAAGGCCAGAACTTGGGGACAGAGATGCTCCATCCCCTGCATCATCAGCCTGCCCCACTATGGCCCAGAGTGACTCTACAAACCAACAGAGACCTCTGTCTCAAAACCACAACCCTTCCTCAGGGATCTGACATGGCCACACTTAGCCCAGAGAGGAGGAGGTACCCAGGGATCTGGGGAAAGCAGCAGGAGAGATTCTGGTCTCTGTGCATGGTACACAGTAACATATAGAACCTGGGCCAAAGGCCTGAAGGGAACCTACAGACAATTAAAGGGTTTCTCAGTCCTGCCTTCTGGGCAAATGCTAGAGGCTTTTAGCACTTGGGTAGAGGGAGAGATAGGGAGCCAGAGGAGGAATTTAGTCAGTGGGGGCAGAGGGGCAAGATGATAAAAGGATCTGGGCCTTTATAATTGGTCTGGAGCTAGCTCACTTCAGAGCTGGAGGAAAGGGTGGGGTGGCACCAGCAGGTTGAGGCCACCCTGCCCCTTCTTCCCCTCCTGCCTGGCGTTCTTCAACTGCTATCTCTTTTAACCTTGAACACCCCATTTCCACCCACCTGACACCCAGCAGAACTGAGCCTTGTACTTACAGGAAGGTGAATTTGGAAGTGGTAGAGTCCACCAGGCCACTGCCCCAGGTGCTGTCCAAGAGGTGCCATCTCCCCTCCAGGAACACTGCGTTCCAGGCATGGTCAAACTCCCCAGAGAAGCTCTGCCCTGTCTGGTAGCCGAAGCCCTTGGAGTAGCCGGCCACAGTCATGCATTGCACTCCAGCGATCCTGCAGGTGGCACGGGGGTCAGAGAGGTGGTCCTGTGGGGGCCTGTCTCTCACATCAGCCTGTCACCCAGGCCTCATCAAGTCTGCTATCCATCAGTCCTTTCGTGTTTCTCCTCTTCCCTACCTTTCACACAGTCATATATAGGCAGCCTGAGGTTTTGTATATCCAGGGCCGGACACAGGGCTGACCGGTCCTGCCAATGAACAGGCTGCTGTCCCTGTCGTCTGCTTCTCCCTGGAGACTGTACAGGTCACTCCTGCCACGACTCTCCCCAGAGCCTGCATGTGTGTTCTGGGAGCAGTTCTTCAGGAACAAGTGGGGGCGCCAGGAGGACTGCCTTGAGAACAAGGAAACTGGCACGTGATGATGACCGGGAAGAGCCAGAGAGACTCTGAACACAGGACTGAGGAGAGGGGCCGAATGACAATGGTGGGGTCTCAGGGTACAGAAGAAAGCTAAGCCTTACTCCCTGTGCTATGTCTTGCACAAAGACAGCTGTAAGGGAACTCCTGGGGCAGGCCAATTGGTGCCTCCAGTCCTGACCCGGGGAGGACTGGCCATTGCATTTGACCAGCTGGGCCACTGGGGTATAGTAGGGCCATTTGTGGACTGATGGCCCTGACCTCTCTCCCGAGTCCCTGGGAGCTGTGCTTTGGGAGGGAAATGCTGGCCAGTCAACCTGAGCTTTTGGGTCCCTTGGCAATATGCCTCTTTCCCCAACATACTGCAACTGCTCACAGCCTGGGCAAGGGGAATAGGGGTGGGTCCCCACTTTGGGGATCACAGAAATCAAGTGACACTCTGGACACTTGTAGCTGATCTCCTGAGGCCCAGACCTGGACTATGGCCATGACCCCAAGACCCAAGCAAGAGACCTAAGTGACCTGTCAGGGCCTTTGTGTGAAATAGAAAAAGGTGCCCCTTTTTCAACACACTTCTCTATCCCTGGTGGAAGATGGGCGCAATAAAAAACACAAGTCTATGTTATCCAGGATGGGCCGGTAGGTGGGGCCCTCTGAGCGCTGCAGCCTGCTCAACCCTCTGCAGCACTGACCCCAGGCTCCCATGCTCCACTACATGCCAGCCTGCATGCCAGATGTGGGCCAGGCCTGGGCCAGGGAGGTGGCTTCCGGGGCCCGGGATATCTTCCAAGGGCGAGGTCTGTCTGCAGCCTGTGCTGCTCAAGATAAGAGGGTTGTGGAGTCTTTCAGGGTAATGGGTGAAATGACCACAACTGCACTCTAGGAGTGTATGTTTTTGTGTATGGAACTTTTCCTCTAAAATAGATATTTAATAAATAGCAGAATATTGGGTTAAGTATTACTTATCCATATTGTTGAAATGAGGCAAAGTATGGAGCCTGCAGGAGACCAGACTCCAGTTCCTGCTGCTTCAAGTGCACCTGATGACCTCGTCATGGGCTGTGTGTTGCGGCCACATCTGTCTTCACCTCCCTCCCCTGCAGGTGCTGGCAGCTGTGGGCGCTGCAGTCTCAGCACACCCAAGAGCCCCTGCCTCACACTGCAGGCCACAGAGGAGGGCAGTGAGGGATGCAGGGCTGAGGGGATTTGAGCTCAGGATGGGGACATCAGATGCATTTCTAATCTTATAGAAAACAGCTAACACAGAGGCAGGGTTGGCCAGAAGCAGGTGTGGGGGTAAGGGGTGGGTGGCCCTTCAGGAGGAGATAGGATTCCATATACTCAGAGAGAAGAAGAGAAGAAACTTGAAAAATATTTAGTGAGGTAAGAAATGCTCCTGATGCAGTGTTAATCAACGAGAGCCTATAAAACTACCATCAGCACAATCCCTCTGTGTGTGTGTGCGCGCGCGTGCGCGTGCAAGCACATGTGCACGGAGAATGAGAGATGGGGAGGGCAGAGTGAAGGAGACAATACAAAAGTCACCTGGTCTCTTGGTAATGGGGTTATGGATGATTTACATGTTCTTATTTAAACGTCTCTTTATTTCTAAATTTTCAATAATGATTATGTGTTACTTTTAGAATTGGAAGAAAAAAATCCATGACTACTACTTGAAATTACATTCTTTGGTGAGTTATCTTTCTTCCTCGCCCGGAACGTCTGTGCACGGCCACGTGAGTGTGGTGTGGAGCGGGAGGAGGGCCTGGGGACGACGGTGTTTAGAGACCAGCCTGTGTCTCAGGAGGCTGAGCTCACCCAGCGGAGCTGTGCACCCCGGACATGCTGCGCGCTCCAGTGGCCTCTGCTCATGGCCGCCTGGACTCCAGGGAGGAAGGAGAAGCCCTGAATGACCGCCATGGGGCTGCCAGTCACTGTGGTGAGATGGAGCAGGTGTGGATGTGGGCAGCGAGGCTGGTTTGGACTCTGCCTGAGTGTCCTCACAGGAGAGGCCGTCTCCCCGCACGCAGGTGTGAGTGTGGAGAGTCCTCCCACTGAGGGGATGAAGTAGAGACGAGATCTGAGGACCAAGTAGGGGAGTGGGAGTAACAGGCCTCTCCCCCAGACCTGAAAAGGGCTGAAGGAGGGATGTGGTTGATTTCTAGAATGCTTGGGGCTGCAGTGGCTGGGCCGGGGTCTGAGCTGGCAGGTGAGGGTCCACTCCCAGCCGTAATGGTCACCTCCTGTGTGACCTTGCCAGCTCATCCTGGGCAAAAGAAAAGGTTGGAATTAAGTGATCTCTAGGGGCTGATCCTCTGCTGACAGACTGATGGGAAGCTGGGAGGGCTGTGGGAAATGCCTGGGGCAGAATAAGGATGAAAAACTAAGCTCAGCTATAAGCTTATGCCAAGTTTGACAATGATACGAGGATATTTTATTACCTGGCAGTAATGTGCAAGATGAATTGGACAAAGAAGTCATAATGTAAAGCATTATTGTTAACAAGCCATAATTCTCATGCAAAATAGTGGGACTAGTAATTCCAGCCACTGGTTCTCATTAGGATGGCCCACAACCACTCTATGTCTTCAAAAGATCACTGCATCTATGTGTAAAACACTGTACCAGGTGCCAGGGAATGAAATATAATGTAATGTAATATAACATAATATAAACTATAACATAGTGAAATATAATCTAAAAATAAAGCTCTCTGGCAGCCCTAAATGCTCATAGTTGGAAGCAGGGGCAGATATGAGAATTGTTATTTAAATGCTATTGTGAGCTGGGGAGCCCAAAAGAGCAGGAATTTGTTGGAAAGAGCTGGCAGAGTGCTGAAGAGTGGTAGAGGGTGAGAAACATTTCCAGTTCCCAGTGAACTCTGACCAGCCCTCCTAGAACCCAAAAGATCACCGAGGAGATATAGCTAATAACCTCAGAATTTTTATTTTCACTTCTGCAAGTCCCACAGTTGATGGTATTATTGAGGAGGTGATGGACCCTGACAGAGACTATCATTTCATACAGGGAGGGCCCAGGCCCTACCCCGGGATCTCCAGTGTTGTTTAAGCTGCCCACTGCCAAGCCCAGTGTGTTGGCCACAGTGGATTTCCCCAATTTTAATGATCTTGCCCAGGAGATCCGAGCCACGTAGGGGAGAAGGGAGGGAGGAGGAATGGTAGTTGGAGGAAAGGCAAGAAACATGCTTCCTTGCGCATTTTGTTGAAAACACTGAGATTTCGCCTAGCGAAATTAGGAAATGTGGTTCCATTAACTTGAAGTCCAGCAATCACTGTAACTGAACAAGAATCTGTGAATTAGAAGTTTTGGGTCATTGTTCCTAAAACTTGGGTTCTAAGGAATGGTAATACTATTGTAACAGAGGCAAATTGTAAATTGGTAAAAAGATATGTTTTCTATCCTGTAGCAGGACAAGCATAGCCACGACTCAATGTCTCACCGTCTATGTGGTTGATTTCTTATATGTTTGACTGTGATTTTTCTTACAGTTCTGTTAAAAGCCCTCATTTCCCTTTTTCTTATACCTCCCTGAGGCAAGGTCAGTGACTGTAGTGGTAATAATGATTTTCACTCTAAGGACCTGATTAGAGCCCCTTGAGGTGTGACTTCAGAGTCTCCTCTCCATGACAGGTGAGGAGTCAGCGTTTCAGAGAGGGAAGTTGACTTGCCTGGGGACACACAGCCAGCTAGTGGCCAAAGCAGCATCGGGATACAGTTGTCCTATGGCACAGCCAGGAGGCCTTGCCTTACACTGGCCTTTTTTTTTTTTTTTTACACCAAGATTTGTCTTAATTTATAAATTCATGGGTGGTATAGAAAGTGAAATTAAAGGATTTAATTTAATTTGCTATAGTGACATGATTCATCTTTTTGAGCCTTATCCTTTGGTATCTGTTCCAATGAGGGGAGCTTATAAATCAAACATGGACATAATTTAGGTTATTCAGTGCACCTGCTTCTCCCAGAGGGTTAGCCAGTCACTCCTCGGCTTTGGAGGCTTTGGAGTCAGGTGGTATTTCAGGGTTGTTTGGGACATCACACTGAGCAGAAGCATGCCATTGCGCTTCTCTCTGTGACAACTGCAGTGTAGATGGAAAACTGACATCTGATCGGTGACAATCAATCCCCTCGGCATCAAAGCCTGAGACTGGTAATAAGCTCCTGGCTTTATAAAAAGTGCTGGTTGGTGGAAAATCTGCTAGTTGGTGGTGTGAGAGCTGTGATAACAAGGGGAAGGAGTGGATTGGCAGTTGGCTCAATGGCCGGAATCTGGGGAATTAAGCTTGGGCCCTGCAAGGAAATTAAGCAGAATTCATTAAGGCTATGGGTAATCGAGGCAAAAAGGAGAGATCTTAATGCTTGATGAATGTCAGAAAGAAACTGGACCAGCAGTTATAAGCAGTGGCACTAAAAACAACACTCATGTTGGTAACTTGAAAAAGACACGGAGGAAATGAATGTTGATGCAAAAATATCTGAATTCCCCACCAAATTACTTTATTAAATCAGTCTTTAATGAGACCATTGCAGGAGAAGGAATGGACTAGCAGAAGTGATGATGGCTGTTTGGGTACAATTCTTGCTAAGAGGCGACCTTGACAACTAAGCAGGGATAAATCAGCAAGTGTGGATTACATGTCTTCAGTCATTAAGGAATCAGTTATTGAATTTACAAAACCTTTGGCAGTTATTTTAAAGGTAAGGGGAATTAGTAAAGTGAGGCATGGATGAGGTTACTGATCTTTAAAGCAAAATCTAAAGGAATTCAGGGAACAGTAAGCATTCCCAGCAATGTGATGAGTCTTCCACCTGGTAACCACCAGGTTAGACCCTAACTTTTTTTTTTTTTTTTAAAGATTTATTATTTATTTATTTATTTATTTATTTATTTATTTATTTATTTATTTATTTATTTATTTGTACAAGCACTGGGTACAGTCAGAAGCACCGGAGAGTGAGAGAATTCACCAGAGTCAGAGCAGGGAGCAGAGCAGGCAGAAGGACCGAAGTACACTGCTGAGGGGAGCAGCGGGCCGCAGGAGAGGTCTGCGCGCCATGTGGGACCCTCCTCCGGTGGCCGGGGAGCAGCCGGGGATCGAACCGGCGATGCAGAGACTGTGGTCAGCTTCGCAACCCAGCGCTCAACCGCTGCGCCACCGGGGAGGCCCTAGACCCTAACTTTAAATGATGCAAAGTGTTGGGATGTTTTTAATAATCAGCTGCAGGCCAGAATATGGCTGTTGTTTAGCATCTGGACCAGGCCAACGAGCTGACACTTTCACTCAAGCCAAGTGCCAATTTTCTGAGTCTATGTGGGTCTGTAGGAAAAACCCACAGAGCAAAAACACTCCAATAGTCAAGAAAGACTGGGAAAGTTAAACAACAAAAAAACACCCACAGTAGGATAAGCAAGCCCAGAACTGCATGTTCTCATTTAGTCCTACGGTACTGTCAGTAGGCAATGCAGTCCCCAGTTGCAGATGGGAAAACTGAGGCCCCCAGAGATTAGGTGCCTCCAAAAGAAGCAAAAGCAGTACGCAGTAAATTACAGACTGGGAAATAAGGACAGAAGTCTTTCTGCCTTTACCTCTGGCATTCCTTCTATGCCATACTACAAAATTTCTATTGGGTCCAGAGAATATACTGTATGATTCAAACCTCCCAGTATTTTCAAATTTGCAAATTAAAATAAAAATAATTACATTCTGTCCTACTGTGTGCAGGATTCTAGGATGGGATCACAGGGTAAAGAGAGGGAGGGGCTAATGATGCAGAAGCTCAAATGGCACAAATTTAAGCTCAAATGGCACAGGTAAATTTCTAAGTGACAGAACAGTCTGGAAAGAATATAACAAAATGTTAAGTGTTACCTCTAAGAGGTTGGATTCAAAGTAAATTAATTTTCTTCTGCTTCTGTGCATTTCCTAAATCATCTACATTGAATAAGTATTTTTTAAGTTAGAAAAATTAAGAAAAAAAAGCATAAGGCAGGACATGAACTGGTGTATCAGGTATGCTGGTGACATCAAGGGATGGTGTGGTGGGCTGACATTTGGGTGTCTAAGATGAGCCCCTCCCAGAGGCCTGTCAAGATAGCAGGGAGTCAGCCAGCCAGCCATCTGGGAGGGAGATTGTAGGGTAAGGAAAAATGTCAGGCTTTTCTGCCCTCCCGCCATCAGGATAGATGATGGATCCTTGCGGTCCTGATGCATGCCTGATGGCGGGCACCTGGAATAGGGTGTGGGCATAGGTAGATGGGATTCACCTGGGCTGAGACTGGGCTCTTAAGGGCAGCGTCACGTGGACGCCAGCAGAAGCCGAAAGAGAAGCCGAGAGAGAAGCAGAGCCATGAGAAGAGCAGAGAGAATATGAGAGAAGGCCGGAGAGCCCAGATAGAGTGAAGACTTGCTGGGGGCTGGGAGGCCTGCCAGCCTCCTGGCCCCCCATTACTCCTGCCTGCTGTATACCTGGTAAACCGCAATAAAAGCTGCAAAAAGCCACTGAGGACTCTCTAGGACTCCTTCTTTACCCGGTCTGCTGGATCATAGAAAACCTGCTCAGTGTCCTGTTCCTGACTCTACAGAGATTTTCAGCACCTCCTCCCTGACCCCCAGGGCTAACTATTTTCTAGGGAGCCCAACAGACCTCAGGATATAGGAAGCTGCAGGGTCTATGGGGCTCTGCCAGACCTGAGTCTCTCTGGAGGTCACCTACGGCCAGCGATGACGTCTCCAAACAGAAGTGGTTTCTTACCAATCCATTCCCTGAGGAACCCTAGCAACCTGGCCAGGTATTCACTCCCAGAGCAATAAAAATGCCCAAGGGCTCCAAGAGAAAAGCTGCTTCCCAGTTTTATTCAGCTTTTCCAACTGACAAATCTTTTCACATCTGAGATCTTTTGTTTCCTGGGAGGGAGGGGCCCTGAGCCAGCCCTGAGGACAGCCTTTCGCAGTCCCCTTGGCATCAGCAGCCATTGTCCTCCTGTTCCCAGATCTGCCATTCTTCTAACCTTCAGCTGCACAGAGATGGGAGAAGGTGGAAAAAGGGCCTTTTATAACCAAATTATCTCTGCGCATTCATCTGCCATTATGTTAATGCATTGCGAAGCCCAGCAGATGGTACAAAGTCAATTATGCTGGTGTTAAAAAGGGAGAAATTGACCTTTTCAGGACTCACTTGGATTCCAGAGCAGTTTGCAAACTGAGATTTTAGGCCTGAGTTGGGGGAAGGCACCCAGAGCTTTGGGGTTGAGGGGGAGGAGAAGGATTCTGTGAGGGTAGTCAGCCCTAGGACTGCCTGCCTTTCACCCAGACCCAGCTCGTACCTGCACATTTTCTCGAATAGTCCGGCATAGCCATCACAATTGGTTTTCTGGGTCCGCAGGATTTCAGTGGGCTTGAAGGCCTGGCGGTCCTTCTCCTGGGCAGCTTCAATGTCGTACTCTGGAGGGCAGAGGAAGAGGCTGTGCCAAGCCAGCTACCACAAGGCAACCAAGGATGATGCAGAGAAGGGAGTCCACTTCAGCCTCCCTGCCCCTTGCCCCGAGCTGTGCTTCAGCATCATGGGGTCTGTCTCGCTCACATCTGGGAGAAACTAAACTAAACGCTATTATGGGTTGGACAGAACTAGGGCCCAAGCTGAGATCTGGGAAAGATCACCTGTTTGTGCAGATGGTGAGAGGAAGAGCCAGACCTTTGCAGAGTGGACCGCTTGACTTTTCGGGCCTCTGAGAAAGGCCTAGGAGGGAAGAGGCCATGGCAATAGTTGGGGGGTGTATATGCAGGCCCGGGGGGTGGGGTGGGTGCTCTGTCCCCATAACACAGCACTGCAAACAGCTCTAGTGAAGCTGCTCACTCTCCCCTGCTGGGTCTCTGAGGTGGAGGCCTCAATGACTCACAGGGGGAGCCCTGAGCTATGGTCAAATCTTGCCCTAGAGAATGTTCTCTCACAGCCTGTTACCTCAAAAACAAGAGGGCCTGAAGCCAGAATCACTGTGGTCATTGAGGATAGGGATGGGGGTGGGGAAGACAAAAGGGAGGAGAAAAGTCTTACCAAGTATTTTCTTTCTGGTTTGGCCCACTTAAGGCCTAGGCTGAGCTGCTGAGCTTGGGTGGGAGGAGGGAACCCTCAGGCCCTATGGTCAGATGCTCCACCTGTGTCAGGAGAGCTTATCCTCTAAGCTGTCTCCCTAACTGATGCTTTAGGGGGGCAAAGGAGAAGCCCAGTGGCAGCAGGTCTGGAGGGCCCTGTGGGTTGCTACTGCACAGGTGATCCCTAGGAGTCCACCCCACCAGATGGCTCCTCCAGCTACCACAAGGGGCCTCACCACCTTTGGCACATGGCTACACCTGGTGAGACCCCCATGACTGGCTGTCCTGTGGAGAGCTGTGGGCATCTGCACAGGCCCAGGCCCCCTGAGGTGGCTCTGAGAACCTGGAGACTAGCATGAGGCTCATGGCTGAGGTCTCTGGAAGGAATGAGGGGCAGGAAAGGAGAGCTGCCCTTTCTGGCACTGGTCCTTTAAGAAACCACTAGTATTACAATAACTTTTCAGATAACTGTGACTCCTCCCCAACCAATGGTTATCCTTCTTGGAAGTGATCTTCTGTCCTGGGTTTTCATCGCAGTGGAACAGGTTTCCTGGAAGCCAGAACTAGGGAAAGGTTGCATTCAGTTCTGGGTGAAGGCCTCAGCTCTGGCTACTTGCTCTGGGTACACGGCCACATGAGGGCCCCTATCCAACAACCCTCATGGAGGCTGTTAGTACCCAGTGAGTTTGACCCTCCTTGGTTAGTCTTCAGTTATTCAATCCAGCCATCTGGAACTCTGTCCCTCCTCCCTCCACCCCATTCCTTAAATATACTAGGGGTTCACTTAATACCAGAGTTGCTCCTCTAGGAACAGGAGCCACAGGGAGTGGCATCAAGGACAAACACAGCCACAGGTGGACCACAGGTGGGCCTACCTATGTGGTGGCAGATCCAGATCCAGATGGCGCGTACCCTCTCCAGTTCACTGTGGGCCTCCTGGAGCAGGTCGCTCACCAGTTCATCCAGGCCACTCTTGACTATAACCTGGGAGGGAGACGTGTACTTTGTCAGGCCTGCAGGAGGGCATGTGGAACCCAGTGCCTGCCACTTGCAGCCAGGGCTGCTTTTCATCCAGACAGAGAAGGAAGAGAGTCCAGAGGGGCAAAGGCTGGGCTAAGGGCAATCATTATCTGCAGGATTTTGGTGGGCTTGTCTGGGGAACTGGACAGGGTAGGCATACTGACTTGCTGAATCACTAGTTCTGGAGACACCATTTCTTTCTCTGTGATTCTAGTGATTGGCCAGGTAAGCATCTGGGTGGCCATAGTAGACCCTAGTCATGATTAATACTATCCAAAGCAATGTATAGATTTAACACAATTCCTATCAAAATTCTAGTAGCTTTTTTTTTTTTTGCAGAAATGGTGAAGTCAATCCTCAAATTCACATAGAATTGCCAGGAACCTACAATAGCCAAAAGAATTTTGAAAAAAAAAAAAAACAAAGTTGGAGGAGTCACACTTATTAATTTCAAAACTTATCACAAAGTTGCAGTAATGAAAACAGTGTAGCACAGACATAAGGATCATGTGGACCAGTGGAATAGACTTGAGAGTCTAGACACAAACTTTCATGTCTATAGTCAACTGGCTTTTTTTTTTTTTAAGATTTATTTATTTATGCATACAAGAACTGGGCTACAGGCCAGAGGTGTGTGTGTGTGTGAGGGGGTGGGGTGGGGTGGGTGAAAGGATTCACCAGGCACAGAGTAGGGAACAGAATAGGCAGATTGACAGAAATACACTGCTGAGGGGAGCAGCGGACAAGTCAGGAGAGGTCTGCTGTGCCGTGTCTTCAGCTCCCTGGCTGGGGATTGAACTTGCACTGCAGTGGCTGCAGATAGCTTCGTAGGTTGTATCTTAACCCCTTGCACCACCAGGGAGGCCCCATAGAGTCAACTGGCTTTTGACAAGGGACCAGATTCTTTCAATAGGAAAAAAATAGTCTCTTTAAATATGGTGCTGAACAACTGGATTTCCATAAGCAAAAGAATGAAGTTGGGTCCATAAATCATACCTTACACAAAAATTAACTCAAAAGGGATAAATAACCTAAATAAGAACTTAAACCATAAAACTCATAGAAGAAACCAGAGGTAAATTGTGATGACCTTGATTTGCCAATAGTTTCTTAGATATGATACCAAAGAACAAGGTACAAAAACAAAAATAGATGAATTACACTTGTTAAAATGAAAAACAAACAAACAAACAAAAACTTCTGGCACCAACGGACAATATTAAGAAAGTGAAAAAATAGCTTACAGAATAGGAGAAAATACTCACAAGTCAGATATCTGATAGTGTTAATGGCCAGAATATATAAAGAACTCCTACAACTCAACAACAAAAAGATAATCAGTCCAAATTTAAAATGGCCAAATGATTTGAATAGACATTTCTCCAAAGGTATAAAAATGGCCAACAGGCATAAGAAAAGATGCTCTATTTCATTAGTCACTAGGAAAACGCAAATCAAAATCACAAAGAAATATTACCTTATACCCACTCTGATGACTATAAAAACAAAGATGGGCAATAATAAGTGTTAGTAACAATGCAGAGAAATTGGAACCCTTATACATTGCTGATGGTAATGTAAAATGGTCAGCTGCTATGAAAGAGTTTGGTGGGTCCTCAAAAAGTTAAATACAGAATTACCATATGATCTAATTCCAATTCCAGGTAAATACCCCAAAGAGCTGAAAACAAGGACTCAAACAGATACTTGCTCATCAATGCTCATTGCAGCATTATTCGCAATAGCTAAAAGGAGAATTCAACCCACATGTCTGCTACAAATGAATGGATAAACAAGATATGGTTTATCCACACAATGGATTATCCATCCACTCACAAATTCAATGAGCAACATTCCTGAGCACCTAGTCTATGCCAACCACAAGGTGGTCTTCCTAAGCCTGTGGATGACCTCTCTGCTCACCGGCCTGGGGTGGCTCACCGTGACTTTAGTCCCAGTCCAGCTCCTTGTACCTTGCTATCAGACTCTGCAGTGAGGTTCCTGCCTGGCTCCCACAACCCTTGTATCCTGAGTGCTTCAGCTCTTGGAGCTGACCCTTCTCACCCCCACCCCAGATATGCCCAGGCCCAGAGGTACAAGAGTGTGGCAGCTCACATGCTCCAGGGGTGAGCACAAGCGTGGCTTGGTCACAGTGGGTACTGACCATCTGCATCCATGGTCCCCCCTTTCATCCTCTCATTCCCCTCCTTCATGGGCTGGGGGCTGGCATGGCTAAGGCAGCAGCAATGTCCAGATTGGCAGGGGGAGGGCAGGACAGGGCTGGCCAATGGGGTCCTTCAAGGGGGCAGTCCCAGAGTGTGCAGCCTGGGCTGGAAGTGTCAGGATGGTGGGTGGAATGGGGTATGGGGTGGCCTTTCATCCTGGACAGGGATTTGCTGCCTTGGGCCTTCTGTCCCTCATCCATACACTGGAAAGTCCCTCCAGGCCCTCTATCCAAGGGATTCAGGATACATTCAAAAGGGGCCTAGGGAGAAGCTTTGCTACCTTGGTTCATGGAACTCTAAGCCACCTTAGAGGGGGGCTAGGGAGAGGTTTGTAGGGAGAGGAGGTCTTTGGCAGAAGGGCTGGCTTTCCTACCTGAGAGGCATAGGAATCCAGTTTTTCAAAGTGCCGCAAGTCCAGGGGCATGGATTTCAGGCCGGATCGATCCCAAGGGTAGGCTGGAAACACAGGGAGGCTCAGTTAGCTGCTGAGCCCTGCTGATGAGGAAACTTGACACACTTTCGCTGGCTTTTTGAGAAGCTGTGTCTGCCTCACTTTGGGCACCATTCCCCAAACCTAAACTCATGTTCCCACGAGCTGTATCTCCTAGAAAGATTCTTTGCTGAATTAGTTTGGGAACTATGGTAACTCCTTTAGTCTTCTTGGAGACTCACAGGGAACATAAGCCTATTTGCAGATCCAAGAAGTCAGCAGTAAAGAAACTGGTTCCACCTCAATTAACCCAGTAGTCCTCAGATGAATGGATGGTGGAATACCCTTCTCTCCACCACGTAGTTTTCTGCAGATTCCGTTACATTTTCCAGGATTGAGTGCTCTGTGTGATGTGTGATGTGTCAGGCAATGCTCCTAATCTCTGCCGGGTCAAAAAGGGAGGGTCCCTGCTATGGCCACAGAGCCCAGCAGGGAGGTGTCACAGGGCACCCTGGGTAGAGGAGGGGAACATGGTGGGGCCAGGCCTTCTGAGAGAGGTGAGTCTGGCACCCAGGCAGGCTTCCTCCCTTGTTTACTGTCAGCTGGAGACCAGGGTGTTCTAAGAAAGCCAAGCTTATTCTGGCAGAAAGTGCCCCAGGTGTTGTGGGCAGACCCTGGAGGGAGTCTGAGTCCAGAGTCAGTTATCGAGGCCCAGCCTGTTTCATAGGAAGCCTGTACAGAGGACGGCTCTGTCAGCTGCTGTGGGGCTAACTGACCCCTGGTCAGACCCAAAGATGGATGGCAGCAAGCCCCTATTGCTGCCCGGGAGAGAGCCTGGCCCCTGGCAGGTGCTGATATCAAGGATCCTGAGCCTGGTTGACCAAAACCAGGAAACAGGGTGAGAGGACAGGGTGGGGGTGATAGGAGGATGGGCTAAATGGGACTGATCCTCTGCTCAAGTGGACCCACCCACCTCTTAGTCTGCAGTCTCAGGGGCCTCTGGAGCAAGTAAAGGGTGCTAGGGTGCCTCAGGGCAGGCAGGAGGCCTAGGCAGATCAGCGTGATACGGGGAAGAGTCTGGTAGGGCTGCACGAGGTCTGAGTTCTCCTCTTAGCTCATCTCCACCTCTCTGTGGGGTGCTGACCAGTCAGGGGCCTCAGGCACATGATAATGGCGCTGGTGGGAGAGGAAATGAGGTAGCTTGCTACACTAGAAGACCAGCGTCACTCTGTTTTCTGGGGGGTGTGGGGTGGGGGTCTTCTGTAGGCAATTGCAGGAGCAGGGGTGTGGAGCCTCTGCAGCTGCATTTGCTCATGTTCCTCAGGGCCCCCTGGACTGTGAGAAAAACTTGTTCAACTCGGTGCTACAGACCCAAGAGAAGTGTGAGAAGGTGGAGGGGTGTCACTAGTAGTTGGGTCTTAGTCACCCCTCCACCCTCTCTGGGTTGGCTCTGGATGACTGGCAGTGCCAGCTGGCTAGGGAACTGGCTACTGTCTGGCCACAGACACTAACTGAGGGAGGAGATCACTGTGTCTGGGGTTCCTGCTCAATCCCAGACTGGTGAAGGCCAACTCACCCTGCTCCGTCGCCCCTGCAGACACACTGCAGCAGCCCCCTTTAGCCCAAGCCACTGACTGGGCTTGTGCCATGTCCCGTGCACCCCGACACACCCAGGACCTGCAGCCTTTTCCTCCCCTGGGGAGCACCAGGTGTATGGTGGGCAGGCAGGCGGTACAGTCCAACCATGAGGCTGTGGTCTTACCCAGCAATCTAACATTTTCTTTCTACTTTTTGTATTCCTCTATCAGAAGCAAGACATTTCCTGGATTCCACCACATCCTGTTGTTCTAAACAATCTCCTGCCGAAGTTTCCTTGAAGCCTGGCACCGCTGTGGCTCTCAGGCCAGGGTACGGGCTGGAACTTCTTACTACCCATTACTTAGATCACCATCAGTCCTGATCCTGGGAGTTCTGAGTTTAGTCTGGCCCATTGGGAGGGGTAGGGACCCAGCAGCAGGCCCTGCTGAGCTTCCTACTTTTCTGGGCCCTCTCTTCTGCCAACACCCCACCCCGAAACCCCCCTCCCCGCGCTGCGCAGTAGAATCTGGTTCCTGCATTCTCTGACAAGGACTATCAGGGTGATGTAAGTGGATCTGAAGTGGACTTACACATTTAATAAGTTTCTGCTCAGCACATTTCTGTAAATGAGGCTGCTTCTGCCCCCATTTACAAGAGGATGGCATTGCTAAAAGGGGACTAAAAACTCTAGAGCAAGCTATACCCTTTCTTGGTTCTATTTTATAATATCTGAACATTAAAAATATTCCGTAATGATTTATGCCTCATATGTTTACCTTCTGACCAGGTTATATAAGATCCAAATATGACTGCATAAATACATTTAAAATACCAGTGGCATTAACTAAATTATTCTAATTTTAAAGGAAAACAATGGGCAGCAGTGCCAAGCACGTAGCCTTAGATGCTGTGTGCTCTCCTCAGGGAGAAACCGAGACCCAGGGAAGGCAAGGGAGGGACAGAAGTACGATTTGAGCCCAGGCCATCCAGCAGGCCATTTGAGGTTTTCCTTTTTCTTCCTCTACCCTGCTCTGCTCATTCACACGCCTCCTAGCTTACAAGTGATTGACATTCCATTTAAAGTTAAAAAACACAATTCGAATTATCTTTTAATGTGTCCCTCAAGAGGCTGCCTTGCTATTATTGATGAGTTTCATGATTTCGGGATCAAGTCTGGTGTGTGAGCTTTTCACTTCTCCACCCGTGTCCATGGCAGGCATTGTCAATCAATCACAATCTGCCTCTTGGGCACAAGGGGTGGCTCTACACCCGCAGCACAAAGCCCCAGGGAGCCATTTCCAGCTGACTGGTGCTGGCCCCTGAGCTTACACCAATCTGTCCTCTGAGAGAACAGCCACAAGAAGGCCCTTCAACTTACCATGGGCATCCTTCCCTCCAGGCTGCCGGGGTCTTGTGTTCCCATTTTTATCGCTTTGTAAACCTACAATATCCCAAAGGTGAGAAGAAGACAAACTTCAGAAGAAATAGAAATGCAAGCATGGATGATTACTTATGGTGGCCCCTGCTTCTGACCCCTTCTCTTGACTATGCTTCGCACAGCGCTCTTCCTTCCATCCTCACCCACCACTGAACAGCTGCCAGAATTGCCTTGGACTTCCTGTGTGGCGGAGGGAGGACTGGGGACCAGGAAGGGGGTGATAAGAAAGAGAACTGAAGTCATTGAGAAAAGGCAGAACTTGCACTGGACATTTTGGGGTGTTTAGTGGGCCCGTCTGGAGCCTGCTGCTCTTGGCTGCCTCTGGAGTCTCCTGCCATCTTGAACACCATTGGGGATACTGAGAGCATTATCAGATTCACTGCTAAGTAGCTCCCAGATAAGAAGCTACTATGGACAGCATGAAAATGGGCAGAAGGGGAGGCAGTTTGTATGGAGCTTGAAACCCAGATGTCAAATAATTATCAAATTATTCCTTGGATGGTTCAAGGGCAATTGCATCCTATCAATTCAGGACTGTTAGGGAAGGATGATTACCAATAGTTACTTAGTTATTAGGTTCCAGGGAAATAGGAAAGGAACTTTCCCCTTCCAGGTTGGGAAGATGTTCTCTCAGATGGAGCTGGGGGGCTGGGGGCGGGGAACGTTAAGGCAGGCTGTTTGATGTCATTGAAGGCCAATGTAAGCTGTCAATCAGTGGACATTTTCAAATATATATAGGCCATTCTGAGAAACACTGGTGATTTAGTTTCTTGATTCTACATTTTGATTCCATCTACATTTTTTGATAGAGTGATGGGGGTTCAAAATAGAAGCTAGCTTTATTATGTACTTCTATACCTGGTTTGTGCTTTATACTCACTATCACATTTAATCTCACAATAATCCTATGAGGAATACTGAATTATTTCCCACCACTCATAGACAAGGGAATTGAGGGTAAAAGAGAAGTTAAGACACTAGAGCTGAGATCTGAGTGCAGTCAATAGTCCTGCAGGGCTACCCTCTGTACACCTCACTGCTGTCCTGATATCCTGCCTGTGGGACCAGGCAGACCCGGTGGGCCTGCCGAAGCTCACTGAGTGGGCATGGAAGGAAACTGAACCCTGGCTATTCTGCAGACTCTGTATTTTGGACTGTATTTTTTCCAGGACTCTGTTATCCACAAGATGGACAAATACAGGAAGAGGACGAGAGGGGAGTGGAGGAGACAGGGTGGGCCTGGGTCTATGTGCACTGCACAGAAGGTAGCCACGTGCACTGGTTATTGGGCACAAGTTTCAGAGGAATCTGAGTTCTGAACCTACTTCCTCGCTGGATGATTTAGGTAGTTATTTTACTCTGAGCCTCACTTTGCTAATTTGACAAGTAGGGATAATACTGGTCTATAGCAAAGGGTTAACAAGTTAAAGCGTTAGCACTATGTATGCCAACTTGCTAGGTAGTTCATAAATGGTAGCCAAAAGCAACAATAATACTTTTGTGATAAAAATCCTCTTCAGCAAAACATCTTGGGTTGTTCACACCTAATCATAGAGACTTAAGGACAGTTGTTGTTGAGTCTGGAGAAGACAGTCCCCCAGAATGAAGGTTCCTGCCCCTGTCTCTTTCCTGTAGAAGCTCGAGTCACTCATCTTCTTTCCTCAGAAGATGCCAGGACTGGACTGGGCTCTGCCCAATAGCAGCCTTCAATCCTCCCTGCCAGCCCTCCACATGCGAATGACCCTGTACATACGTACATTTAGCCAAGGAGAACTTCTTAAGGAGCTGAGGCATGGTGTCTCGAGGGTGGACCTCCACAGTCAGCTGTGTCCCTGCAAAGGAACAGGAAGTGATATGCTCAGGCAGATGCTGTTAGGAGAGGACGCAATGCCTCATGACAGATGTTTGAACAGTAAAACACAGTTGGCCTTAAAACTTTCTTTTGAATATGCAAGTAAATAGTATTTAAAAATAAGAAAACCATAAGCAGACAGATTTGGGCAAGATGGAGTAAACACATTCCACTTGTCTCTCCCACTGAATGAAACTATAAATCTTGGAAAGAATCATGGGGTAATTTATCTGAGAACTCTGTAAAGCAAATGATGGAAGGCAAATTGGGGAAGATTAGAATTTAAAGCATCAACAATTTGGCAATGTGTTTTCCATTTCCTTCCTATTTACCTAGACTGGACTTAAGGCAGCGCCCACCCCAGAAGTGAACAATGGGTGAGGAAAAGTGCTCTAAGGGAAGCCCTTTCTTCAGGACTGTGGCGTGAGAGAGGGAAACTAGAAGAGTCAGAGAGAGTGAGGAAATCCATGCATTTACCACATCCTTCTACCTTTTTTTCTTTTATCTTCCAATTGAGCACGTAGAGAATTCTGTTGGTAGCAATGCAGCAGGATTCTTATGGTCAGGGATGTACCTAAATCTTTGAGGGATCATAACTAGAAATGTTGAGATCCCAAGAGTGTGGAAGCAAGTACTTGTTCTCTCTCTCTCTCTCTCTCTCTCTCCCCCTCTCTTCTTCCCTCCCTCTTTCTCTCTCTTGCATTGGTTGATTGGCTTCTAATGCTATCAGTTGTGAGAACTACCTGGCAGAGTTGGGAAATGAAAGCTCCAGATTTTGGGCCAGTGAACAGGGAAGTGGGTTGTGAAGGGGAAAGAGTTCAAGAAAGATATCCCAAAAAGTTATGGGTAAACTTTTATGGTCATTTCTGAGTTGTGCATGCATGTATCCTATCCTAAACATCACATCATGGTCATTAAGAACAGAGCTATGGAGTAGACCAATGCCCAAACTGGCCACTGGGTGGTGCATGTGTAAGGTAGATAAGCACTGTAAAATCTACAACCCCAAATTACTTGGCATAGGAAGACCCAGAAAAATCTTAACTTGAAAAAGATAAACAACATATGCTAGCCCCACGATGACATTGAATTTGGAATTGTCTGTCAAAGACTTTAAAACAGCTGTGATAGCCATACTATAAAAAGAGAGGGCAAATAGTCTTGAAATAAGTGGAAAGACACAAAGTATCAGCATGAGTTTGATCCCCTGCCTGGGAGCTCACCCACATGGTGCAGCAGACCATTCCTGTACAGACCTCTCCTTTCTTGCTTGCTGCTCCTCTCAGCAGTGTATTTCAGTAGATCCACCTGTTCTGCTCCCCACTCTATCTCTGGTGAATTCTCTTGCCCCCCATACCTCTGGCCTACACCCCAATTCTTGTATGTAAAATAAAAATAAATCTTTTTTTTAAAAAGAAAAGAACAGTACAGACCAACATCCTAATGAACATAAACTCAAACATCCTCAATATTAGAAAACTAAACCCAAAAATATAGTAAAAATTAATATACCACCACCACCAAAGATTTATTTTGGGAATGCAAGGTTGGTTCAACATTTGAAAGTCAATGAATGTAATTTACCATGTTATCAGGCTAAATAAGAAAATTCACATGGTCATGAAGAGTGATTTGGAAAACTTAACATCTATTGCTAAATTTATGACAAAACCTCTCAAGAAACTAGGAAGAGAACTTCTTTAATCTGAAAATGGACATCTAAAAATGGATAACCAAAGCCTGCTGTCAACAGCATATTTAGTGATGAAAAATAGAATGCTTACTCCCTAGGATTGGAAGAAGGCATTAGCTACATTCTCACTATTCTGAACAAACATTACACAGTGCAGTAAGAGAAATAAACAAAAGTCATATCAATGGGAAAGAAAGAAATAAAACTCTCATTTATCACAGATGACATATCTATCTTCATAGAAAATCCCAAGTAATCTCCGAAAGAAATTCCTAGAAATAATAAGTGATTTGGTATGATTCAATATTGTCAAGTTGGCAATTCTCCCTAAATTGATCTATAGATTTTAATGCAATTTTAATTAAACTCTTTGAGGCATTTTTGTAGATTGTTAGGCATAGACAAGATTGCTAAAAATTTCAATGGATGGGCTTCCCCGGTGGCGCAGCGGTTGAGCACTGGGTTGCGAAGCTGCCCGCAGCCTCTGCGGTGCCGGTTCGATCCCCGGCTGCTCCCCGGCCACTGGAGGAGGGTCCCACATGGCGCGCAGACACCTGCTGCTCCCCTCAGCAGTGTACTTCGGTCCTCCTGCCTGCTCTGCTCCCTGCTCTGGCTCTGGTGAATTCTCTCACCCTCCTGCACTTCTGACTGTACCCAGTACATGTATAAGCGAAAACAAACAAACAAATAAATAAATAAAACATGCCTCTATTAAAAAAAAATTCAATGGAAAGATGCAAAAACTAGTTTAACCCACCCAATTTTGAAAAAGTTGGAGGACTCCAACTATCTATTTTTAAGATGTACTGTAAAACTATAATAATCGCAATAGTGTGATATTGGCAAAGGGATAGATACATGGATCAATGGAGCATAATAAGGTGTTAAGAAATAGACCTACACAAATTTGACAAACTGACATTTTTACAAACTGGCCAAGAAAATTCAATTAGGAAATAGGTATATGAACAGATATGTCAGCAAAGAAGAGATTACAGATGGCAAATAAGAAAATGAAAAGGTGTTCAAAATGATTAGCCATTAGGAAAATGAAAACTAAAATCACAATGGGATATCATACCTATCAGAGCAATAATAAAAAACAGTGATAATCCTATACACTGGCAAGGTATAGAATAAACTGTAGAGAAACTGCATATCATACACTGCTGGTAGGATTGTAAAATGGGACAGTCACCCAGGAAAATAGTTCAGCAGTTTCTTATAAAACAAAATGTGTACTCAACATACAACACAACAATTGCACTCTTGGACTTTTATCCCAGAGAAATGAAAACTTATGTTTATATAGAAATCTGTACACAAACATTTATAGAAGTGCTATTCATTATCACCCAAAACTGGAAAAAAGTCTAAATGTGCTTCAATGGGTGAATAGATAAACACCTGACAGTACATCCATATCAAGGAGTACCTCTCACAATACAAAAAATTCTTAGGAGTGACAGAAGAATCTGACTACAAGAAGTCCATGCAAGAGAATTACATGATAATAGGACTTCTCTGTATTCTGACAATGGTGCAGGTCACATGAATTTGGGCATGTTTATATCTAAAACTCATAGAACTACATACCAGAAAATCCAATTTTGTTCTATATTAATTTAAAGTAAAATTAAAGTTAAAAAAATAGTAACTGGACAAAAAGCCCAAGAAGAATTAAGCTTGAATGATAAAGACATAAAACAGAAAGTGAAAGTCCAAGACAGGATTATAGTACACACACTTTGGGTAACCTTCTCTCATAAGTCTTTACACGTCAGTGAATATTGTCCTATGTCATCCTTTTAAATGGCTATATAGTGCTCTATTCTACAGATGGTTTATAATCCATATAAGGAAAACCTTTATGTTTCATATTTAACTTTTCTCAAATGTTTAGTTATTATAGGACTATTATCTTATGACTTTTCTGACACACACTTATCTTTACACACATTTCAAATTGGTTCATTTAAGCTCTTAAAATGATCAAAGGGTATGAGAATTTTTAAAGATTTTTATTAGAGATTGGCAAACTTTTTACATAAATGATTTTATCAGCTTATGTTCTCTTGCACTATTGGTGCAAGAGAAACATTTCTCTTTTCTTTTTTTTTTTAAAGATTTATTTATTTATTTATACAAGCACTGGGTACAGTCAGAAGCGTGGGAGGGTGAGAGAATTCACCAGAGCCAGAGCAGGGAGCAGAGCAGGCAGACTGACAAAGTACACTGCTGAGGGGAGCAGCAGGCGGCTGGAGAGGTCTGCGTGCCATGTGGGACCCTTGCTCTGCAGCTGGGGATCCAACCGGTGCTTCAGAGGCTGCGGGCAGCTTCACAGGCCAGTGTTCAACTGCTGTGCCACCGGGGAGGCCCAAGAGAAACATTTTTCTTATTTTTGCCTTGCTGAATTGCAAAATTAGTCATGATACTTTGCACTTCCTCTCAGTGAGAGATTTATTTCCTGAATTTGGACTGACCTTAGGACTTGGTTTGGCCAATTAGTATGTACAGAGGTACTGGTGTATAAGATCTGAGTCTTGTTTATGCAACTTCTACTGTCATTCTTGGGATTCTAGCCATGACTGCCATGTGAATGAGCCTAGGCTGGTCTGCTGGAGGATGAGAGACTAGAGACTATATGGAGCAGAGTAGAGTCATCTCTGGTGAGGCCATCCTAAAGCAGCTGCTCTCCAGCCAGCTCACCAACTGACCATAAACACGTAAGCAGGACCAGCCAAGACCTGAGATCAGCTGGCTGTATCACACAAGAATATCCAGCTAAACTGTAGTTTCATGAGCTGTTAAATGCTTATTGTTTTTAGCCACTGAGTTTTAATATAAAAATAGACCACAAATATACTCATTGATATTTGGTTTTTATCAGTTCCTTCCATTTGTCTCAACGAATATCTCATTGTTATTTTATGCATTCCTTTAATTTTTTTAATGCACTATTTTTTATGTATTTATTTGCCATTTATAATTTTATTTTGTGAATTGTCTGTTTTTCTACTGGTGAATTTTTTTCTTTATTCATTTTGTAAGAGCTTCTTTGATTAACCCTTGGCTTGCTGAATATGTTGCACCAGTTTGCCACACAATGACAATACTGGCTTTCTTGTGTAGCTCATAAACTTGCTCTACAGACCAAAAAGCGTAACTCTTAATTTTAAAAGATACAAGGAAACCCCCAAGGCATTAATTTGAAGGGATTGACATTCATTTTGAAGTGTGGTTTGTAGCACATTCATTGTCAAAGAAAATCAGTCTGTAACTTTATA